CAGACGAAAACGTTGGTCTCATCACCAAAACGAAGAGGAAGGGCAAAAATGTGAGTCACTCATTGCTAGTCATTGCTTCTAGGAACTTGATGGTACGCATTTTCAGCTCATATGCATGCATTTCATACTGTAATGTGTATAATCTAAAACTCTGCCCGCCTCTAAATACAAATGGTGGCTTTTTGGAATGTTGCCATAATTGCCAAAATGTCTATAGAGCGCTGATTATCGGCTTTTTTCCCCTTTTGAACGTCGTATTCTCAGCTTCAGAATTTATTTCACTGCTTGCAAACTTTATATCATATATTATAATCTTTACTATCCAACACCTCATAATTTCAAAGTTTTTCTCAATGATCGTAGGTTATAATCCCATTTGACATATTTTAATGTCGTTATATCACCTTCTTCTACTACCTTTGACAGAATAGTGCTTGATAGAGTGCAGCATTTAATATTCGTAAATTTGCTGCCAATTCTCACGTAAAATTTAATCATAAAATTAATATTTGGAAATAATGATTTACAAATGGCAGAAGCAAGTGAGATAATCAGCCAAATTAGGAGAACGAAGTAGCTTTTACCTGTCTTAGTATGCTTTCGAAAGTGCACGGAATTAGGGCGTTTGGCTTCAAGTCGCATATTTCGGCGGAATTCTTCCGTTGTTGCGAAACTTCGCCATACCCTCTCTCCTTTCCTCATGGCATTCGTTTGCTGTATGAGTGTTTTCGAACAGATATTTAACGTACCAAGAGTAATTACGAAAGTGGCAAATTATGCAGCTCACTTTTTTGCTATGAGGCCTTCCCTAAATGTTGTGTCAGTTGCCAAAAAAAACCTTGTTTCGCAATAAAATCGATTTCAATTGTTGCTTGCAGCTGGAACGAACTCCTCTACTACATCGTCCAATGTCGTCAGCAGATCCAGCCACTGTAGAGTTTGGTCGTCGATTGGAACGAGAAAGTGAAGAAAATAGAATTTCCAGCGAAGATGAAGGGACTAATACAGGTAGGATTTTTTCCACTTTCACCTTTTCCATCTATATTATCGTTTCTATTTTCACTTTTTTTTGCTTGCTTTCACTCTGGCCCATTCTTTTGGGTGCGCATTTTTTCCATATTATCCATTATCTTTAATGGCAAAATTGTTATTTTTGATGAGGACGTATAACCCTGTAGAAGCTGGAATAAATCACTCCATATTTTCAATATTAAGCT